TTCTCGACAGTTCTACTCCGCCCTAGGGGTTAGGAGGCGGTGGGTAGAGACTAGAGAGAGAAAAAATGAGGAGTGATGGTAGGGACTAGAGAGAGAAAATGAGTGATCCGTAAAGAGAGAGTTACAGAGTGGAGGGCTGGGTTTGGGATTAATCGAGGTGGGGGTGGTGGGGTTATTCTGCAGATTAGGATTTAATTAATTTTTTATTAATTACAATTAATAATCATGTTTACCACTTAAAATCTGAATTTTTAACTTAACCCCTTTGTTTATGAAAACTAATTTTTTATTACAGGATTTTAGGTCATTTTCCCTTGCTATAAATGAGTCACCCTGATTGGACTTGGTCCGAATTGGGTGGGTCTGATTGGGGTCTTATAACAATGATCAAGCCTCAAGTATTTGCTTGAAAATAAAGTTGGGGTACTTACAAAAATACCTTAAAATTAGGGGTGTTTTGAAAATTCATGTGAAAGGTTTTTANAGGTTTTTAGAAAATAAAAAATACTTTGTAAAATAAAAAAGTGACACAATGTCACTTTTTTTTATAAAAATTGTCATTTTTTTTAAAAAAGTGACACAAACTCAAAAAAATTGACAAAATTCAAAAAAATTGACAAGTACTAAAATAGCACATTTCATTTGTGCAACACCAATAATCATGTTCTTAAAAATTTTTTGGAAGTAAAAAATGTTGTCTAATATTAAAAAGTGACACAATGTCACCTTTTAATAAAAATTGTCACTTTTTAATAAAAAAAAAGTTACACAATGCCACTTTTGAAAGCTATGTGTCATTTTTTTTTAATTAAAAAATGACATTCATTGTCACTTTTATTAAAAATGGATGTTTGTCAATAAAAAAAGTGATAGAAATCAAGAAAGTGAATGAAAAAAGTGACAAACACTAAAAAAAAAGTGACAAATTCAAGAAAAGTGATAAAAAAATTTAAAAAGTGAAGAATTCAAAAAAGTGACATAAATTAAAAGAAGTTACACAAATTAAAAAAGTGACAGACAATAAAAAAAAGTGACAAACTGACTTGGGATGCACTTTAAAAAAAAAACAAAATATCAATTTTCTTGTATTAAGAGGGATATATGTTCCACTGCCTTCCAGAAAACTCCATAAAATAATTATATATGCTGTGCACATACTACAATTCAAATAAAAGGTTTTCATTTTCCTCCGATCAACTATGATCTTTAAAATTTCAGAATGTAGATCCCACGCAAAGCTAAACTTCCTCAAATAAGAGCTTTTCGTAATCGGGCAACATGCAAAAATTGCCTATTAAGGTGTGCATTGCAGGTGTAGGGGTTAGACAATATTCTCCGAAATCTCAGTAGAAAAGCTGTTAGTGAAACATATTTCCAAACTTCCTCGAGGTCAAAACTGGAAGCCACCAAAGCCCCCACCAGGAAATCCTCCTTCAAAGTGAAATGTATACTGCTGGCCCCCTCCTCCAAAAGGGTTAAATCCTCCAAAAGTGAAAAAATACGTTGTTGAGCTTGAAATTGAGCAGAATTTGGCGTCGATCTTGGGGATGATGATTTAGATGTAGGCACTAGCGAGGATTTTGGGGTGCACAGTTGAGATTTTACTTTCCTTCAGTTTTGGGAAGATGATTTAGGCTGTGCAGGTGATTAAGTCGGGAAGATTTGAGTGTATTAATTACGGGAGTAAAAGTTTTAATTAGTTTTCGGGTATTATTCTAATTGTTTAATTTTGGTGGGTATTGGATCTAATTATCCCAATAAAGTTTAGGATTTATAAATAATCTGTAATTTTTGCCAAATGGATTATAAGTAATCATTGCAAGCAAAAACCGCTATAGGATTCCAATTAATTGATCTGTCCAATTTTGGAGGTTCCCATTTAGCAAATAAATCTTGATCTACTTTGGTAATTACATCATGCATTTGTTTATTGTCTCTTTTAAGTTCAAACGTACGAAATATAAATTCTCATAACATCTCACATTGTTCTTGTTACAAGTTGAATTTCTCCTAAATTTCAATAATTGAAGTATCCAATTATTCAATTTAATATAAAATAAATATACACGACGGAATCAATGTTATCAAAATTGGACTCGATTAGTCCAATCAAAATAGCGGGACTAGTTCAAAATGAATAATTAGAAAGTGTAAAAAGTAATTTAAGAAGCTATTCGAAATCATGTTCACTTCAGAATTAGCAAATTCAAAAAAAAAATTTCTTCGATCTCATTTTATTCCATTCGACATACTTTATTTTCTCTAAAAGGTTCGACGTTCCCGATCAAAATTATCCTTTTTGATTAATAAAGAGATTAAAAAACAATTTTACACTTTTTAAAAATTAGTCAAATTATAATTGAATACTGGTTTTTGGTCAACTATCGAATGTTTAGATGGAAATTGTTCCTTTCTTTATGTCCTTTTCACCGTACCATTTGAAAGGTTTGAACCAATTCCGCTACAAGTAAAAATTTGGGTAATATCTACATAATTTTGAAAGATTTGAAACTACGATTATCCAATTTTATAATTTGTAAATTTGCATCAAAATTTGTAAGTTATATTATGAACCTACCAAGCACGTGGACTCTTATGTTGACTTTTAATTTAATCCAAAAATATCTTCCAAAATGACAGCCCAAGATTATGGACAAAACGCACAACATAAACATATATGAAAGGAAAAAAAAGAAAC